GCTGGGGACTCTCTCCTATTGTTTCTTGCTACAGCTTCATTTCAGCTGTAAGGGAGTGCGACGGGATACAGCTTACAATTCAGCTTTACAGCTTTATAAATTGCGGGCCTATTCTAGAAAATAGTCAATAACTGCTCACTTATTTGGAAATACAAACTTTACATCTCTTAGATCGTTAGATTAATCAATCCACAATGGTATTGTCGCATGGTCCGGTTCCTGGCATTGTACAACGTCTTCTTGGCGATGTTCATCCTGAGAAATGAGGTCAAACTAACAGAAAAACGGGGAAAAAAAGTAACGATTGACTAACTTGGAATATCACACCATTAGGACTTCACACCATATAATTTGATGCCGAGTTAAGATCTTATCAACTAATCTGGACTCCGGGTGGGTTGAATCGTGTACGTGTCAACAAGCTCTTCGTTTGAGGTACGTAAGGGGAATTTGCCATGAGGCGTGCCAATGCTGTATTCTCTTTATAGATCACCTCTTGAGCTGAAATACAGTCGTACATGATCATCGAGGGTGCCCCGATTTCGACTCGTCCGTGGACTTTGATGATGATGGTGTCCCATTGCTCCGAAACGAACTGTTCAATGGCAGGCGGTTCCGTCAACATCCGGGCAAAATTAATGTCGTTATCGATGGCATTGAGTTTGAATTGGAATCTGTGAATGTCTCGAAGTTTGCCGGTTAGGTAGGTTTGGTAATTGGACAGATCTAGATCTCCCATTGTTAGCGCGACCGCTGTATTGAAGACACCTGGTGCTCCTACTGGATCGGGTTCAGAAAAACTGAAATCCAGGGCGTTGGAGGGAATTCGGGCTGCTTCCCAGTACCCTTCGTTTTGATCGGCGCTATTGACGAGTGAGAGTCGTAGAGCTGTCCCTACGATACGTGAACATTTTACGTTTGCCCGGTCTTCAACCGTATCTAAATGCCCTTGGAAGGGTGTTGGGGTTACCTCAACAACCGTTGGATCGTTGTCGACTCGCCAACAGAGGACGTTCGACATGCCTGGTACTAAGGCGATATAGGTTGAACCTGCCCCATTACATGTAATCTCTCCGGTTGCTCGGAGTCTAATCCCTGAGGATCTTGCCACTTTTCCATCTAGTAACTTGGGTTGAGACATCCCTTTATCAAAGGGGTCTAACAAAGATTTCGTATAGGTTTGAAGCGACATGTTGTTACAAGTGTCGGATACTATTTTTATGAGCTATCTTCACTTTCTCTGAAATTTACCCACTCCACTTTCCTCTGAAATTTACCCAGTTGGCTGCTGGATCCTCTCGCCAGAACGAGCACCCAAAAAACGGACGAGCATCGGGGCCTACGTACGGTCCTGCATGACCTCCTAAGCCTTCACCGCAAATCCAATTGGCTATGATCCATGGAAATTTCATCGACCAAGGGAGGTATGCTGGGGCTCCAGATAAGCCACTGGTTTGTGCGAAACGTGTATTGTACGATGCGAGTTCTGGGTAGGTTGAGAAATCATTCTGATATGGGGATGCGGAAATGTAGGTAGCTCGATCCGTTGCGTCGACGAAAAAGGATTCTCCGCAATGTCCTCCTGCGATATCTATTGGGTCTCCATTGGCTTGAAAACACACTCCGTTATGCGCACCTGGTACACCGGTTCCGGGGTATTTCGTGTCCCATGTTTGTGTGTATTTGCGTTCATCTGCCCAGCGGCTTTCCAAATATAAACGTCCGTCGGGTTGGACAGGTGTTGTCACACCTAGGAGGGCTCTGAAGTGACGGATCACTTCTATATGCCAAAGATCGATTTCCGATGGAGTGGGGTTTGCGTTATCTGCGAAGGGATTTACTTCGTAGAACTTTTCCCTTACACCCCTGATCACGTAAGGTTGTCCTGGGCGGAGGAAATCGCAAAGTTCTCCGTTTGTTTTTCCTGTTGGGTCAAAGGGTATTCCATCCCATTGGGCTTCAACCCATCTATGGGTGGGGATCCATGTGATATCATCAGGTGCATGGGTTAACTGATCGTTATTCGCTCCTGGAACAGTACCTGTGGTCATGGCATTCATCATTTCAGTTCCTGTTGGACGGGTTGTTAACGTGAAGCTTGTTGAATACTGCCCATTTGGAACTACCGGGGGAGGGGTTGGAGGGGGTGTTGGGAGAGGTGTCGGGGGAGGTAGGGTCGATTCGTACTCGTCTTCGAGATCGTTGTTTGCTGAGATAAGGCATTCTGGGACACCAAAGATAGGACTGTTAATGTCATTTATTTCTTCTAACGTTTGTTCTCCTACTAGCGGCTCTGGAAAACCGATGATTGTTGTTTCCAGTATCTCTTCCTTTTGCCACGTCGTAGTGTGCTTTTTAGTGTCACATATAGGTTTAGAGTTGGAGTTCTGTTGGGGCGGTGCTACTCTATTTTGAAACCCGGGTTTGACGTCAGGGGTGGATGGTTGTTCACATTTGGTTTTGCATTTTGCTCTCTTTCTGGGTCCGTTAGAGGGGGTGTCTCCTATATAGATATTCATTACGTTTCCTCCATACCAGAGATCATCTTGATTGCAATACCACGACATAGTTTCTATTTTTGGTTTTTATGTCAGAAGATGAATCTCGGAGATTGTTTGCTGGCTTGTCAAGGGGATGCTGATGGTTTCAATGATGCTGATGGTTTCAATGATGATGGTTCAGACAATCAGAGTTTTGGTATACAGAATGGGGACGTTTGTGGAGTTGAGGATGATGAGATGGAGGAACCTGCTCCAGAATTTACTGAAGGGTGTGACCCTACTAGGCCTGATGGTGCTGATGGTGGATGTGACGATCCTTTGCCTGAATCTGACTCCATCCCTTTACTTCCAATGACGTGTACAAGCTTCGCTCCTAGTAGCGACGAAGAAGAAGAAAGTGAAGATGGTTCTGTTCAGCTTGAAGAAGAGGAGGAGTACGCCCCTGAAGACGATCCTTGTATAGTCGACGAACCTGAAGGTGTGCCTGATATAGATGATATGTCAGACGACGAGAACGTTACAGGTGAACCTAGTTTTCCGGTTGAGGAGGATGAGATGGAAGATGACGGAGGTTTTCTTGAACCTCCTGTGCTGAGTTTCTCACAATCAGATGGTGACGACGATGAGTCTATACCTGACATCGAACCAGGGATCGACATTCCGGACGACGAGACTATACCCGACGATGAGTCTATACCTGACGAGACTATACCTGACGATGATGATGACGATGATACTGAACCGGGAAACACCGTGAGACCTAGACCCGACCCACAAGACGATGATGACATCCAAGAACCTCCGGCGAGCAAACCGAAACCTAATCCTGATGGTGACGAAGACGATGATCCGGAAGACGATGATCCGCTTCAATGGTTGGAGGAGGAGACCGACGAGGAAGATGATATTGAGGACGATGGTATACTTGATCCGCCTCCTGTCGAACCTGTTAGCCCTGAACCTGAACTTAGTTTGGATCCGGTCCAACCTGATCCACTCCAACCTGAACCTTTACCTCCTGCAAGTCCTGATCCTCCGACTCCTAACGAACGTCTAAAAGATCTGATCAATAAATACAGGGAGGGTCCTGGTGACTATATTGAGGCTAATAATATAGTCTGTGTCAGGAAAGGTCCGGATGGAAAAGAGTACAAAGTAAGACCTTCTGGTGTCTTCCAGAGCTTACCTCCATTGAACTCTAGTGCAAAACTGGATAACGCCGCTCAACATCTTGCTGACCACAACCACGCTCATGGTGTCACATCTCACGAAGATGGTCAATACCAGAATGGCGCGGACTGTGACATGGGAGATCCTACCACATGGCGTAAATGCAATGCACATATAAAACGGGCTCAGGCGTTTGGGTACAATTCTACGTATGTTGTCGAGAATGTTACAGGGATTCTACCCGACGAGGGTCCCGAAGATGCACTTAATAGGTGGATCTGCTCGGATTTCCATAACCAAAATCTCCTCAACCCCGAAACGACTGAAATTGGGGTTGGATGGACTGATGACCAGATTGTATTCGTTGGTGGAAAATGCAGTGAAGTTTGCACTCTTAATAGAAGTGGTGGAACTTCTTGCTTCTGCAGGGCTGGAGCACCGGAGAGACAGGACAATGACGAGGACTCAGAACGGACTCTTCTTAACTTAGTTGATTCCTTCAGGAAAGATAATCTGTTACCGATGTTCCAACGTGAAAACGAAGAACTGAAGGCTGCGGCGACACATCTTGCTGCTCATAACTATTTGAATTCTACCCTTTCACAGGAAGATCAAGATTATAACGGTCCTGACGCACACAAGGACAGGGTTAAGGATTACAAATACAATTGGCCTTCAGGGAGTTCTGATGTCATGCAACTTATTGGTCAAGTTAGATCTGACATGGGAGGTAATGAAGTCAGAAACGTATTCGAAACATGGATCACGGATCCGGAAGTGACGGATAGGTTGCTTTACCCTTTGCTTGACGACGTAGGAATTGCATGGGTTGGGGATATGGTCGTCCTTATTGCCGCAAACGACCCTAGCATTTCCAATGATGATCTCATTTCGGAGATGCGACAAGAGTACGAATCGGATCCTATCGGTTTTTGTTCCAGGTACAACTGCAATACAGCGCATCTAAGAAGCGCATAATGGGGTCTCGCGAAAACAGCGAGGTCTGGAAGGTACCGAACGACATGCGTCCCTAGGCGATTGGTGACGTCATTGCTCCCGGATTTGGATGGTGTTTGTTG